CAATATAGTTAATTTTGTTAGAGTATGCAATGATATATTGATTCTAACATTAACTCAACCACAACTGCATCGGCGCGATTGATGGAACACATGTTGACGCACGTATCCCATATAATGATAAAGTTATATTTATCGGCCGTTGTGGTAGCCCCACCCAAAATGTCATGTCCGTCTGTGATTCTGTCTGTGATTTCAACATGTGTTTCACTTTTGTTAAGTCTGGTTGGGAGGGCGGCGCACATGACGGTCGAGTTTTTAAATCTGCAATGCGGGATCCCAATACCAAATTTCCACATCCCCCTACAGGTACTCTCGGGATTGAGCTTATTGAATGCCAACTTAAATTTTCATATTAATTGTTCAATTTATCAGGTAAATAATATTTGGTCGATGCTGATTACCAATTGCAACGAGTGTATCTAAAACCATTTCCTGACACGAGATATCACATACCAGACTTTGCACGTGCAAACAACGTTACACAAGACATAAAAGAAATGTTTAATAAACGACATTCATCCTTACGCTGTGTCCTTGAAAGAATTTTTGGTGTGTGGAAAAAGAAATGAGTGATACTCCGTGATATGTCTCACTACAATTTCTTCAAGCAGGTCCAGATTGTGTTTGCTACAATGACTCTCCATAATTACATTAGAAGACATTATTCCCGTAATGATATTGACTTCCATTTGGCGGAAGAGAATGAAGAAAATGTGTCTGTAGAAGCCTTTGAATACAGTCTAGGTCAGTCTTTCATAGAAGAAGAGACGGAGGCTTACACCGCCTGTATCGCCTGTATTGTAGACGGGGAAGGTGCAAGCGAAATGACAGAGTTGAGGGAACGAATAACTGATGCGATAGCAGATGCATAATTGGATAAAAGGTAGCTTGTATGGATGATAATTCATGTTTATTATGGATTTAAATAAACATTTATGATGTACACCATAAAAGTAGCTTCTTTGGATGATAAAAGAGTTTTTTATTTTATTTTTATTTTTATTTCTTGTGATATTTCTTCCCTTCATAATTATTTTTCTGTAGTGGTTAAAAATTTGATTGAATTATGTCATTTGTATTAAAAAATTGATTAAAAACCTGTTTTATTTCTTTGTATTTAATTTTGGTTTGTGTGGCTTTATAATCCTTAGATTGTTTTAATTTTTCTTTCTTTGTATCTTAATTCAAACATCTCACTTTGGCTATTTATATTTATTTATTATAATAGATACTCTGCTCCATTAAAGTAGTTAAGTCTCCATATGGAAGTTGATATAAAGCTGAATCTTTTTATGTGGACTCATATAATCAAGCAAGTTGGTTGTACAATGGGTGTAAGCTCTTCATAACCATCAGAGTTGATACAAGGGTGTAAGCTCTGCAAAATGGATGTACAGTGCAGATTTGATCTCCAATCTATTTTGTATTGAAACTGAAAACATCCATTTTGGAGCTCATCTAGATAGATGCCTGCAGATTTAATACCTTGCCTTTTTCTCTTGTTATGGTTTTCTTTATCAACATTTATTTGAGGTTAACTTCTTATTCCATGAGGCTGTTGTAGGGAGTTGTTTATTGGATTTGCTGCTTGAGATATTAAAATGAATCCGAGCTTCTGATTCTACAATTCCTTCCTCACTTTTCCATATATGTCTTCAAGCAATCCTTTTAGTTTTATTTTGGCTAAAGAAAACAAAGCATTATTTCTGTTTATTTCTGTTTAATGTACCAAAGAAAACCAAACCCCTAAACTTTGCCGTTTCTTGCATTATTTATGTTTACTGTTCTTAAATTTTGATGCTCAAGCATGATTGAGACCTTTTTTTTACATGTTCTTTAACAATACATACCAGCTTTTCAGCTTGGAAAACAAACTTTTTTTTTTATTTTCTATCTTCGCATAGGTCTCCCAGATCTCAAATTGTCCATGGATTTTAAAAAAACTGAAGCTAGGAGCATATAAATGAATGTGTTTATGAATTCGAACCAAATCAATCGAGTATGTGAAATCAATCGAGTAAATCGAGTATGTGTTAGATATGTAAATACTTTAGAATTGAGTGGCATGTATGTAAATGTTATTTTGGGTAATTGTCACAATTAAGATGGCCTTTAACTGTCATTTATATCTGCTGTTTTTTTGCGCATTCTATTTATTTTCATGTCGGTGGAGTTGGTGAAATATGAATACTTTCAGATGTCGTTATCTCATTCTATTTATTTCCATAATAACCAGTAGTTTTCCAATAATTGCTTTAAATGAAATTGTGTTAAAAATAAAAGATTTACATACATACCACTCAATTCCTATGTATTTGCATATTTAACATCTGAACTTTAGTTTCTATAAATATGTAGGTGGTAGAAAGATAAAATGAAAATTTTAGGTGTTAGAAACGTAAATACATAATAATTGAGTGCCATGTATGTATATGGCCCTATATTTTATAGTAACTATGATTTTTGAAATGACAGTATAGATTTCTCTTCTTATTAGACACGACATGCTTCTTATTGCTGAAGCTGAATAATATCTCTACTCTAGTTGTTTCAAACATTTTTCAATGCAGTGGGGAGTTAATTGCTGGTGTAGCATTTTTACGCTATTAATTATGCATTGCTAAGGTATTTTCTTTGTTTTACTTGGCATATTTTTCTGCTGAAACTGTAACGGAGATCACTTTTAGAAGTTAATCAATGTCAATCTGTTTTTTTTTAATGTATTATTTTGTAGAAATGGAGAGCATACTTGAAAAGAAGAGTTTATGGTTATATTTGTAACATTTAATTTGAACTTTTGGAAGGTCTGACTTATATCCAATTTGTTGATAGAAAGCATATCCTCTATATACTGTTAGTTAAATACTTGAGGATTTATGCTGCGACACATTAATTGATGAAATTGTTCAACCCATCAAATTCAACGAGATTGTGTTTTACTAAATGGATGAGAAGTGTCCTCTCAAAAGCTGCTACATTCTGAACCGGCTAAAGCGAAGCCCTTTTTTCTCGTCTTTGCATTTGTTATATAGCTACAGCCACCATGTCGCTGCTCCCAGTAACAAATTCAGCCTGGCTTTCTTATACAGCTGTTTATATTGAACTATTCTCTTTCTCATGTTCATAGAAATGAATATATGGAATGCTGAGTCTGTGTTGATTGAAGATTTATTATTTTTTTTGTCATAATGATGATGTTTGTCTGTTGATTACTTTTGATTTGAGCACCACAATACTAAATAAAATTATTTTGTAATGAAATAATAATGCTGATTTTTTAGAAAACATGAATTTGAGATTTTATAGTGCTAAAATTTACAGCAAACAAGAACTCTTGATCTTGTTTACACTGCACTATATCTACTCTTTTGTTGTCTTCTTCTCAGAGCCTGGAAGATGTTTCTAATCATATTGGTAATCTATTCAACCTGGATATGCCCATTTGAACTGGCTTTCCTACCAAATTCACTTTCATATGTGGAGAACATAGTGAATGGTTTCTTCGGAATTGATATAGCTCTCACCTTCTTTGTTTCCTAGCTTGATCATAAATCCTTTCTTCTGGTAGATGATCACAAGAGAATTGCAACAAGGTATATATATTCTAATAGAAACACAGTTCTGTAAATGAATTGTGTGGTATGTATGTAAATGCATTAGAATTGTGTGCTATGTATGTAAATGCTGCACCATAGAAACACAGTTCTGCAAATGCATTGGGTGGATGCTTTCTTTAAGGGAACAATTCGCATAATATGTGTTAAGAAACTACGATTGTATATATATGAACATTCTGTTCTGTTTAGAAATGAATTTCTGCTTTAGAAGTTTAAAAAATGTAGGTGTTACGGCCTTCTTTTAAACAGTTTTAACAAACAAGGGCAGCATGATCATTTCTCCAGAAACAGCTGCCTCACAGCTGTTTTGACACAGCTGTACCAAATAGACAGTCAGCTTCCCCGCAACAGCTTTCTGGGGCAGCGTAGCTGCAGCTGCGCCAAAACAAAGCCTAAGTGTGCAGTGAGGGGATAGTCGGAGGACATATAGAAGTGGAACAAATAATTGAGAATCATATGATCGTTGGGGTCACATGTACATAAGCTTTAGCTACCAGACGCTTGTGCATGTATAGCAAGATGTGCACGAATTTAGGGGCAGCTAAGTATTTGCATGCATCTTGGGATTTGTAGCATAAGCTTGGGAATTAATTTTTTGGCCTGCACAATTTGTTCTTAGGATTATGGTGAGCAACTATTGAATGATGCATTATTTGTATTCCTTTTATCTGAATCTTAACTATAAACTAGAGTATAGGGTTTTAGTTCTACTCTTAGATATGCTGAATTATCATGCAGATGATTCAAACTTTAGACTTGTTGAACCATCCACTGTGTATGCCAACTAGTTTGCTAAAGCTTATTGAATCGACTAACTGCTTGATCTGTAGGCTTGTCAGTTGAAAAGTTTCACCAGTTGATTCTTGGACTCGTTGGGCTACGATTTTGGTTCCTGATCTTACTCTATTTTTGGAGGTTGTCGAATCGATAACATAGCTTTACCCTTTGGTTTTCTTTTACCTAAGGGTGCTCGTTCAACATTTAAGCATCATTTGTTTAAAAGCTACCTTAGAAAAATATATGTTATCCTAACTTCTTACCTCCTTCTCTGTATAAAGGCCTTCTGGCGATTTCATAGTGTATTTAAGCAACCACTTAAAGCAACACTCTATGGGAATGAATGGAGTATAAAATTTCATAAATAACTCCAAATACTTGAATAAAGATAATGACGATGACAAGAAAAGGTTGGATTTAATCCTAGAACACTCGTACACATTTTCAAGGTGGACAAAATAGTAATTGTGTCATCGTCTTGACAAATCTTAAAGAGTGGTTTACATTCAATTTCTTGTTTACTAATTGGAGTGAACTCAAAGTTGGTTTTAGCTGCTTGTGATATTTGTAAGTTATTATTGCTACTCTGAATCAGAATACTTGCAGGGATCGGGGGAACATGGAAGATACAGATGGTACATTGTCAAGTGTTGCGCAATGCATTGAAAAATTACGGCAAAATTCTTCAACAACCACAGAAAAAGAGAACTCTCTAAAGCAGTTGCTAGAACTTATTGAAACACGTGAAAAGGCATTTGGAGCTGTTGGTTCTCATTCACAAGCAGTTCCAATACTTGTTTCTCTTCTTAGGTCTGGAACTTTTGGGGTAAAGATGTTGGCTGCAACTGTTTTAGGATCTTTATGTGCGGAAGAGGAACTAAGAATGAAAGTACTGCTGGGTGGTTGCATACCACCACTTCTTGCTCTTCTTAAGTCCAACTTAGCTGAAGGCCAAATGGCTGCTGCAAAAACCATTTATGCTGTTTCTCAAGGTGGTACAAGGAAGGATCATGTTGGTTCAAAGATCTTCTCAACTGAAGGAGTTGTCCCTGTTCTGTGGGTTCAACTAAAAGTTGGTCTCAGTAATGGAAGTGTGGTTGATACTTTACTCACTGGAGCATTGAAAAATTTATCGAAGAGTACAGAGGGCTTCTGGTTAGCAACAACAGAGTCTGGTGGGGTTGATATACTAATTAAACTTCTAGCAAATGGACAAATAAGTAGTATAGCTAATGTTTGCTATCTTCTTGGATGTATGATTATGGAAGACCAATCTGTTTGTTCCAGGATCATTGCTTCAGATACTACTAAGCAACTCCTGAAATTACTAGGACCTGGTAATGAAGCATCAGTTAGAGCTGAGGCTGCAGGCGCTTTAAAATCTCTGTCTGCGCAGTGTAAGGAAGCTAGGCGGGAAATAGCTAATTACAATGGTATTCCAGCTCTTATAAATGCTACAATAGCTCCATCAAAAGAATTTATGCAAGGAGAAGCAGCTCAAGCTTTGCAGGAAAATGCAATGTGTGCCCTGGCAAATATTTCTGGTGGCTTGTCATTTGTCATTTCCAGCCTTGGTGAAAGCCTGGAGTCATGCTCTTCTCCTGCACAGATTGCTGACACACTGGGGGCGTTAGCGTCAGCCTTGATGATTTATGATTCAAATGCTGAATCTGTCAGAGCATCAGACCCTTTTACTATAGAGAAAATATTGATTAAGCAATTCAAATCAACAATGCCCTTTCTTGTGCAGGAACGCACTATAGAAGCGTTGGCCAGCTTGTATGGGAATGCCATACTTTCTAGGGTGCTTAACAGTGCTGAGGCAAAGCACTTGTTAGTTGGTTTGGTCACCATGGCAACAGGTGAGGTGCAGCTTGAGCTTATCAAATCTCTCCTCACACTCTGCAACAAAGAAAGTAGCTTATGGCATGCATTGCAAGGTCGTCAGGGTGTTCAGCTTTTAATCTCCCTACTTGGCCTCTCTTCAGAGCAACAGCAGCAGGAATGTGCAGTTTCTCTGCTTTGCCTTTTATCCGATGAAAATAATGAGAGCAAATGGGCTATAACTGCAGCTGGAGGCATACCTCCTCTTGTTCAGATTCTGGAAACAGGCTCTTCTAAGGCTAAGGAGGATTCTGCTATGATTCTTGGGAACCTCTGTAACCATAGTGAGGATATTAGAGCATGTGTGCAAAGCGCTGATGCTGTTCCTGCTTTATTGTGGTTACTGAAAAATGGAAGTGAAAATGGAAAAGAAATCGCTGCAAGGACATTAAACCATCTTATCCACATGTCAGACACAGGGACTATTAGCCAGCTCTCCGCTTTACTAATAAGTGAGCAACCGGAATCTAAAGTACATGTTCTGGATGCTCTGGGAAGTTTGCTTTCTGTGTCGCCATTTACTGATATACTGCATGAAGGAAGTGCAGCAAATGATGCTATTCAGACAATGATAAATGTCTTGAACTCTGCAAAAGAAGAAACTCAAGCAAAATCAGCATCTGTTCTGGCCAAACTCTTTCACGTTCGTAAAGACTTAAGAGAAAGTCATATATCTGTCAATGCCCTTTTTTCAGCCATGAAGCTGCTCAATGTGGAAACTGAAAAAGTCCTGGCGGAGGTGTGTGGTTGTCTTGCTGCCATTTTCCTCTCAATCAAGGAAAACAAGGAAGTTGCTTCCTTAGCTAGTGATGCATTTCCTCAATTAGTTATTCATTCTAGCTCGTCCATTCTAGAAGTGGCTGAACAAGCAACTTGTGCTTTAGCTAACCTTCTTCTGGATGGTGAAATTTCAGCTCAAGCAAGTCCCGAAAAAATTATCTTTCCTGTCACTCGGGTTCTAAGAGAGGGCACTATTGATGGAAGAACTCAAGCTGCTGCGGCTGTTGTCCGTCTAGTACAGTGTCCCACTGCCGATCATGCATTGTTCGATAGTATAAACAGGGGTGGGACAGTTCTAGCTCTTGCTGCTCTTCTGGAATCATCCAGTATTGATTCTGCTGCTGCTTCAGAGGTTCTTCATGCGCTTGCTTTGCTTTCTAGGGCAAATGAAGATTCTGGTCATGTAAAACCTCCATGGGCTGTTCTTGCTGAACATCCTTACACCTTCATCCCCTTGGTCTCATGTGTTGCTGATGGAGCGCCTACACTGCAAGATAAATCCATTGAAGTTTTGTCTAGACTATGCCGTGATCAGGCTGTTATTTTGGGTTCTGTAGTGTCAAAAACGTATGGCTGTGTTGCATCAATTGCAAGACGAGTGATTGGCTCCAGTCACCTTAAAGTTAAAGTAGGAGGAGCTGCTCTGCTTATCTGTGCTGCAAAAGATAACTTCCAGGAAGTGGTTGACTCTTTGAATGACTCAAGTTTATGCACTAACTTGATTCACGCACTTATGGGTTTGCTTCAAATTACAAATTTATCTTCTGATCACGGAGACATAGATATATCAATCCACAGATATCCTGTAGAACATTTAAATGCTGAGAGTAGGTCTAGCACTGCCATAATTTCTGCTAATATAGTTTGCATCTGGTTGCTCTGCTTACTCGCTTGTTATGACGGAAAAAGCAAGTCAGTTCTCATGGAGTTTAGAGCACTTGAGATCCTTACTGAGAAGATTTCACATTATTATTTAGCTTCACAGGTACTTGCCACCTAACATTGTGTTGTTACTTATCATCTACTCGATATGAACATTAATTTAATTTCTTTTTGGAATATGGCAATTCAAGTTTTTTTGAAGTGCTTACTTTCCCGATTTTTGTATAATATTTCAAATTAAACCTTATCATTTTTAATTCTAATTAGTGATTTCCGTAGAGCGAAAGCTTCTTCTGACTTCTCTAAACTTTTTGTCTAGAGTGATTCAAAAGAAGGTAATGTTGCGTGGGTCTGTGCTTTACTACTTTCTCTGCTCTTTCAAGACCGGGATATTATTCGCTCTAATACCACATTGCATTCCATTCCAACTCTAGCCAATTTATTAAGATCGGATGAATTATCAAACAGATATTTTGCTGCACAAGCCCTTACAAGTTTGGTTTGTAATGGTAGCAGAGGTACTTTGTTGGCTGTTGCAAATTCTGGAGCTGCTGGTGGGCTCATCTCTTTGCTTGGTTGTGCTGATACAGATATATCTGACTTCCTGGAATTGTCAGAAGAGTTTCACTTAGTACGAAATCCCGAGCAAATTGCCCTAGAGAAACTTTTCAGAGTTGATGATATTAGGGTTGGTGCTACTTCTAGAAAAGCCATTCCTGCACTTGTTGATCTACTCAAACCAATGCCAGATCGTCCTGGTGCACCTTTTCTTGCATTGGGCCTCCTGAATCAACTTGCTGATTACTCCCAAAATCAGCTTGTGATGGTAGAAGCTGGGGCACTTGAGGCCCTCACAAAGTACCTTTCACTTGGGCCGCAAGATGCTACAGAAGAGGCTGCCACAGACTTGCTGGGGATTCTATTCAATAGTGCTGAGATAAGACGGCATGAATCTGCATTTGGTGCTGTTAATCAACTAGTGGCAGTCTTGCGGCTTGGAGGAAGAAATTCCAGATACAGTGCAGCAAAAGCGTTGGAGAACTTGTTTTCCTCGGAACATATCAGAAATGGTGAACCCGCACGGCAAGCCGTTCAGCCGCTAGTTGAGATACTTAATACAGGCTTAGAACGAGAGCAACATGCTTCCATTGCTGCACTTGTTCGACTGCTAGGTGACAATCCATCTAGAGCCTTGGCTGTCGGGGATGCTGAGATGAATGCTGTGGATGTTCTTTGCAGAATTCTTTCTTCCAACTGTTCTGTCGAGCTGAAGGGAAATGCTGCAGAGCTATGCGGTGTTCTATTTGCAAATACAAGGGTTCGGTCCACTATGGCAGCTGCACGCTGCATAGAGCCTTTGGTGGCACTCCTAGTTATGGAGTTCAGCCCTGCTCAGCATTCAGCAGTTCGTGCTTTGGAAAAACTTTTGGATGATGAGCAGCTGGCAGAAATAATTGCTGCCCACGGAGCAGTTGTTCCTCTGATTAGTCTTCTGTTTGGTAAAAATTACATGCTCCATGAGGCAGTTTCTAGGGCTTTGGTAAAGTTAGGAAGAGACAGGCCCTCTTGTAAAATGGAAATGGTGAAAGTCGGAGTTATTGAAAGCATGCTTAACATCCTGGAAGAAGCTCCTGATTTTCTCTGCACTGCATTTGCGGAATTGCTTCGAATTCTTACTAACAATGCGGACATTGCAAAGGGTCCCTCTGCAGCCAAAGTTTTGGTGCCTCTTTTCTCACTGCTAATAAGGCCAGCGATTGGTCCTGATGGACAGCATTGCGTGCTGCAAGTTCTTGTTAATATTTTAGAGCAACCTCAATGTCGAGCAGATTATAACCTTACTCCTCATCAAGCTGTTGAACCAGTGATATCTTTATTGGATTCACCAACTCAACCTGTACAGCAGTTGGCTGCAGAGCTCTTGTCCCATCTTTTGTTGGAGGAACACTTGCAGAAGGATCCAATCACCGAGCAGGCAGTTGGTCCTCTAATTCAAATCCTTGGATCCGGAGTTCATGTCTTACAACAGAAAGCCATAAAAGCTCTTGTTAATATTTCACTTACTTGGCCCAATACAATTGCAAAAGAGGGTGGTGTATATGAGTTGTCTAAAGTTATTTTACAGGCTGATCCTCCCTTACCTCATGCTTTGTGGGAATCAGCTGCTTCTGTTTTAGCCAGCATTCTTCAATATAGTTCAGAATATTTCTTAGAAGTTCCTGTTGCCGTATTGGTACAGTTGCTTCGATCTGGAACTGAAGGTACAGTTATTGGTGCTTTAAATGCCTTGCTTGTTCTGGAAAGTGATGATTCAACCAGTGCAGAAGCTATGGTTGAAAGTGGTGCTATTGAAGCACTTCTGGAGCTTCTAAAAAATCATCAATGTGAGGAAACGGCTGCAAGATTGTTGGAGACGTTGCTAAATAATGTGAAGATAAGAGAATCGAAAGTTGCGAAGGCTTCCATCTCTCCATTATCCATGTATCTTCTGGACCCTCAGACACAATCTCAACAGGGAAGATTGCTTGCAGCTTTGGCTCTTGGTGATCTTTTTCAGAATGAGAGCCTTGCACGAACCACAGATGCTGTTTCAGCTTGTAGAGCGCTTGTAAATCTTCTAGAAGAGCAGCCAACAGAAGAAATGAAGGTGGTGGCCATCTGTGCCCTACAGAACCTTGTAATGTACAGCCGAGCCAATAAAAGAGCTGTTGCAGAAGCTGGTGGTGTTCAGGTCATATTGGATCTTATCAGTTCTGGCCATGCAGACACCTCTGTTCAGGCTGCAATGTTTATTAAACTTCTTTTCTCTACGCATACTATCCAAGAGTATGCATCCAGTGAATCAGTTAGATCCATCACGGGTGAGTTTTTATTGACATTTTATACACTTCTCTACAAACTTCTTTCTCCGTAAAACTATATTTTAAAATTTATTCTAGAATTGTTTTTTTTTTGTTAATTTTCTTTTGTGTTGCTTCTAAACATTATCTCACGTTTTATATTAGCGAGATAAAAATTATACCTTATTTTCATACTAGATACTACATAAAACTTAAGATGTCAATCAAAACGAACATCCTTAGATATAATGTATGTGTATCTATCCCCTCCACTCCTCTCTCTCTCTCTCTCTCTCTCTCTCTCTCTGGTTGTCTCTCTCTCTCTCTATATATATAAGAGATGAACTTTTCTCCTCGCAGGATTATAAATATTCCCCACCCAATTTTATGTTTTGAACTATTATTTTATTCTTGTCTTCAATTATCACACTGTTGATTTTAATCTATAAGATGAGTAATGAAGATATGCTTTCATCGATTTTTATGAGAGAATTAAATCATTCTTCAAGTATGTGAAAATAATATGGATGGTCGGAATACATATAAAATTCTTCTCAAAGTGTAATTTCATCAATGTATCTCACTTATGTGAAATTTTGGTTGTGGCTATGCTTTCTTTGTGTGATTTTGGTTGGTGTTAATTGATTTTTCGTACATTTTCTTTGTTTGGCGCTGTGACAACTTACAAACTTCTTTTGTTTTATGTGATTATCATTTGTGTCGTGGTGGGGTGTAATTATTGTGCCATTATTTGTTCCACTATTCTATTTTCGAAATTTGCTTTACAATGGGTTCAGTGTGCTTCATAGTTTTTCATGCGCAGTTTTCCATGTTTTTCACTTTGAAATGGATACTCATTGAATGTTGTTCAACTATGGCTTGAATTTTGAAATAGTTGGAATTAAAAAGAGCTTATTTTTTGTCAATCATATCTGATAACTTAAAACATTAGGAGTCTATATATACTTTTATGGCATTTTTAAGTAATAACTTTAATTGAATACAGTTTTTTATTCTACTTTGCAGATCTGTTTGATTAAAATACACGTGAGGTTATCTTATTTTAGGGGAATTTATCTTTATCAGAACATGACATTTGAATTATTTCTATTTGGTGAACTCTTTCCTTTATTTAGGTTTCTATGTGCATTTCATTATTAGCTTTATAGAGTTCTTAATTGTTTTTAAAACTTGATAAATGTGGGATTTAAATATGCTAAAATTTCAATCGGTCAATGATCTCATGCAGTTGAATTTTTTTGTTGACTTCTTCAATTTTATTATACAATCATTGGATTATGATTGTTGCATTGAACAGTTTAAATTTAGGGAAAGTAAGTTTTTCAGCATTCTTTAATATGTAATCCTAAATTTTTTGGTGTCATTAATATATGTTGCATCATTCTATTTATATCAAGAAACCAAAACCCTAAATTGACATGCAACAAATTGATATCAAATTTGCTCTTAAAAAATGATATTAGAGCTTATGGCTAAATTATTGTGTCAATAAAAAATAGAACACTGTAGTGGAGTAAAAATATTAATAAATGATTCAGTTAAAAATTTATCACTTAAAAATATGGTTCTATACAAATGCAACATAACTATAATAACGTCCAAAATTTTATTCCTACATTCAATATGAGGCATTATCTTAGAAAATTTTTATAGTGGATCAATAGTTTTGAAATCTTCTATAAATATTATTTTTTATTTGACTCTAAAATATTGAAGTCGTTGGAAGAAATTAATTGAACTTATTCAACTATTTTGGTTAAATTTTACAGTAAAACAAAATCAACATAGGCTTGCTTGAAACATAAATTTCAATAGTATGGCTGCTTTGCAATGAATCTCGGTATTAATTGCATAATCAGTTTAAGTTTCAAGCAAAATATTTTAATGCATATGAATAATATATAAGTTTGTTTGCCTCAAAACTAGTTTGTTATCTCTACTTCATTATAATCTTATGCTTAAGGAATGAACTGAACTATAGTTTATTGAAGATACTATATCAGGCTATCTGTAGATCTTTGAATATTGGGTATGTTACGAGCATTTTATTAATAATATATCACTTATGATTCTTTTTCCTGAAGACTAGTTAATTTCATATCCTTTGAAGCCTGCCACTTGCCTAAATGCAATAATTATTTATAGTTGAACTTCATCTAATTGAAAAGATCTTTGCTCATAAATATTCATTATGGATGCTATAAATCTAGAAAATAATTTGCAATTACATTGAGTCTACATTTGATGTTGTTGTATCTAAATTATCATTTACAATAAATTACTTAAATTTTTTACTTGATTAGGAGTTAGAATTGTATGAAAGCAGAATTGAGCGTAAAATATTATTGAAAGCCATCTTTTTGATGGAGATTCAGTCCATGTCCGAATAGAAAATTGAAACAATCATATCTAATGTAGTTGATGAATCAATTGAGCACTCTAAAAGTACAACTATTGATGAATTTTCTAATGATGTTATTCCTATGATGAATGGTTATACTGTTATTGATTTTATCTTTAGTTCTTGGTTTAATGATTTTGAAATTTGAAAGAACAACGTCATGCTGAGAACAAAGTGGCATACATATTTTTCAAAATTTTTAAAATTTTTTTTTGATAATAAATGTATTAATTGAAGCTTGAAATATAAAAAACATCCATCTGATCTAGACTAAAGTTGTTTAATTCATTAAAATTTATATTTGAACTGTTTAAGTTTGTTTTTTATATTGAAGTTGTTCTTTCATATCAGCATATCGTATTTGTGTGAGCTTTTTTAGTTTCTTTATCATATCATTTTCTAGGATTTAGTTTATATGTCATTATTAATATCCCATTTGAAGCATATCAGTTTCTTACCATTTCTTTACTTGTTTCATATGCAAGTTTTGTTTGCATTGCATGGAGATATTCATAGAATAAAAGCTTGAGGATAAAAGAATAATGCTTATAAATTCAACAAAACTTTATTAAAAAACCTTTAATAAATTAAAAATAACAACAACTATAAGCCTTTATCCCACTAATTAGGGTCAGTTATATGAATCCTTTTTCGCCATTGTGTCCCATCGAGTGTCATATTTTCATTTAATTCTAAATCAAGATCATTTTTATACAATATGCCTAAGTTTTTCTAGGTCTATCTATGCCTTTCTTAACATAAGTCAAATTTAAAACATCTACTCTCCTAACCGGATTATCAAATGGTCGACGTTTATATGACCAAACCATCTAAGACAACTTTCTAATTTTGTTCGCCACCGGAGCTACACCAACCCTATCATGGATATATTTATTTCGTATTTTGTCTCTAAATGTCAAGCTAGTATTCTCATCTCGGTAACACTTTATTTTATGCTTGTCTTTTAATAAATTAAAGGCAAGAAAATTTTGTTTATTTAAAATTTCATAGCATATTGGAACGTGCACATATATGTAAAAATTTTAGGAAATTTTGACATTAGAATTATGAATTTTACATCTTATTTTGCTTGTTGAATATCAATTACTTCATCAGAGTTGAAGTTTTTTAAACCTGAAAAATTGATACAATATAGCATATGTAGCTTCCTTCGCAATTTTTAGTTTGAGCTCATCTGGTTTCAGTTTGGCTTTTCTGTTTCCCATGATTAACTTTGTCATCATGGTGGCGTGTGATTAGTGTAATAACCAAAATAATAATAAATAAGTAAAAAAATTAAATAGAATAATCAATCTAAATGGCGACAATGGTTTGATGAATCATTACGATAACCCCGTTCGTCTTTAAGAGTTGAAGAACTGATCTCTTCGTGCGTAATAGACCGAGAGAGAGCGAAAGAGAGAAACAAAGAGAAAGGAAGAGGAGGACAAAGTGTGTTTGCCTTATGCGGGAGGAGGCATCATTGACAAGTTGGTGGTGGCGGTGTAGAAGAACGACTCGCACATACAATTTGTGCTGCTAAAAAGACTTACCAGAGGGTGTTTGATGGACTCCCGAGCAGGAGCTACAACATAAAGCTTTGGCGTGATCCATTTCATGCCCTAGTGCGTCGGAAGAATTTATTGTGCTCGAAGGAGTTGAGGGGTAGAGGCGAGGTCTTATGGGCTTCCTGTGGATTCCGATATGTAGAAGAGACGAAGGAGGAAGAAGAGGAGGAAGTTTTGTGTCGTTTATGGGTAGGAGTCGAACCTCGCATGCAGAGGAAGAGGAGGAAGATGCTCTTGTGCATATTAGTAGGATTCAGATCTTGCATGCAGAGGAGGAAGATGTGATCTCACGTGCGTGAGAGGGGCTTTAGACCGAGATATTAAAGAATGAGTTTTAATATTTAATAAAGTTATTTAATTATATATATATATATAAGTTTAATATATAAATGTTAAATTTAATTGCATTTGAAATCAGTATTCAAGCCATAGAAGATTAAGATTTGGATTAAGGAAAAGGTCGACGATAGTAAAAAAATGTTAGGGTTTTAATTATAAAAGTGTTTTTTTAAATAATAATATTTAATATAAGTATCAATTGCAATGATTAAACTTAAAGTTTAAGTATTAAAATCTTAATTAAATAGTATAATAAAATGAAGATTGGTAATTAACAATTAAAATAAATCATAATTAAGTAATGTGATAAAAATTTAGTGACTTTGAATATTTTATATATTATAGGGGTGAACTTGGATGGAGTGACAAAAATGAAAAACAAAGAAAATAATTTAAGATAGAGATGAGTACTCTTACTATTTGATTTATAATAGCATTTTGTTTCTTCTCAATCAATTGCATTAATAGTTATTGATATATATAAATTCGTGTATTAGTTTATCCTGATTTATATACTATCATTTGTATTAGGGCCTGTTTGGTTTCGATTTTTTGGGTGCGGCGCGGCCTTCTGCCGCGGCACTGTTTGGAAGACGGCTTTGCGGCAACGTACCGCGAAGCATGGGAGAAAGCGGGCCGCGGGATAAATCCCGTTGCCCCGCTTTATCGAGCGGCTTTTACCTCGTCGCCCC